GTCTCAGTCCTAGATCGTTCTACAGTCTCAGTCCTAGATTGTTCTACAGCCTTAGTCCTCGTTCTACAGCCTCAGTCCTAGATCGTTCTACAGCCTCAGTCCTAGATCGTTCTACAGCCTCAGTCCTAGATCGTTCTACAGCCTCAGTCCTAGATCGTTCTACAGCCTCAGTCCTAGATCGTTCTACAGCCTCAGTCCTCGTTCTACAGCCTCAGTCCTAGATCGTTCTACAGCCTCAGTCCTAGATCGTTCTACAGCCTCAGTCCTAGATCGTTCTACAGCCTCAGTCCTCGTTCTACAGCCTCAGTCCTAGATCGTTCTACAGCCTCAGTCCTCGTTCTACAGCCTCAGTCCTCGTTCTATAGCCTCAGTCCTAGATCGTTCTACAGCCTCAGTCCTCGTTCTACAGCCTCAGTCCTAGATCGTTCTACAGCCTCAGTCCTAGATCGTTCTACAGCCTCAGTCCTAGATCGTTCTACAGCCTCAGTCCTAGATCGTTCTACAGCCTCAGTCCTAGATCGTTCTACAGCCTCAGTCCTAGATTATTCCAAACCCTCAGTCCTGGAAAAGATTGATCGGTAAATCGAGAACTTTGTCTTTTGGTTCAGCTCCCTCTTCACCACGACCGTCTAACACAGCGACCACTGCACATGCTGCACTGATCCTCCTTCAATCTCATCTCCTTCTCTCACTGTTAACAAGACCACTTGAGGAAGGACCTGGAGAGGACCAAGACCCAGAGAGGACCCAGACCCGGAGAAAAACAGGACCTGGAGAGAACCAGGACCCGGAGAGGACCAGGACCCAGAGAGGACCCAGACCCGGAGAGAAACAGGACCTGGAGAGGACAGGGACCTGAAGAGGACCAGGACCTGGAGAGGACCTGGACCAGGAGAGGACCAAGACCTGGAGAGGACCAGGACCTGGAGAGGACCAGGACCTGGAGAGGACAGGGACCTGAAGAGGACCAGGACCTGAAGAGGACCAGGACCTGGAGAGGACAGGGACCTGGAGAGGACCAGGACCTGGAGAGGACCCAGACACAGGGAGGACCCGGACCTGGAGAGGGTACGAATTTTTTTTTCCGGTTGACCGCTACGGCCTCAGATTTAGAGGTGCCTTAATTAAATTATTATTATAAATTCTGCTTTTGGGTCCTTCCTTGTTTTATCCGTGACAATTGCTTGTGTTCAAACTCGAGACAACTGAGAATTTGGGCTTTCAGGCTATACGAAAAACCAACACAAATAATAGATGGAAAAAGAATGAGCAGCTATTGACAGAGAAAGAAGAGACTCCAGATACAAAGTGTGTATTGTTCCAAACAGGTGCTGCTTTTCCAGTCACAGGGAAATAACACAATCACCGCCTGAATGTGAGGAACAATAGTTTTAATGTGAGGTATCTGCAAACATCCAGCTGCTACTGAATAAATCCCCACTAATACTGAGCAGAGAAAGAGCTCAGAGATTCATATTTGGAGCAGTTGGGGTCCTCTTGTTTTAACCTCTGAGATGAGAGGCCAAATGTATTCAGAGACTATTGTGCGGCTGATTCTCATCTGAATGTCATGTTTGCTAAAAATGGGAAAATGCCTAATGAAGACGTCTTAAGTATGAAATGTTGAATATAGATAATTGGGGTTACGCTTCCTGTGACCTCAGCCGCTCATTAACATTTTAGTATTGTGTTTTTTGCACTGGCTTGAATGGAGAGTGGAATATTTATTTGCTTATTCATAATTTTGAATTGGATGAAATTGTGGGCGACAGAAGCGAAGCCACTAAAAAAATAATATTGCTGGTTTCAGAACTACATTTCTATGAGTGTGTTGGTGTGCCCTGGAGCAAGTCACTCTGTTCTGACCCCAGTATGTGTGTGTGTGTGTGTGTGTGTGTGTTTGTCAGGACACACACACAGCAAAACCCTGTGTTGATTTGTTCGTTATATTGAAATCAAATTGTAGGTGTATGAATAAGATACAGGGACTTGAAAGAGTAGTACTGGTAACATCATAAGAGCTGTTTTTCCTTGTTTTGACCCACATTTAATAAAACAAGTTTCCAAAGTGCTGCACAGAGTTAGCCCGGTCTTATCCATCCGTACACTCCTCTCAATCCTCATTTCACTGCATGTAAAGTCTGGGTCTGGTCCCTGTGTTTACGACTACAATGGGTTGAATTCCATCCGACCAATCAGAGAGCGCGGGAGGCGGGTGTTGTAGTTAGATGTGGGTGACGTCAAGAGTTTGCGTCGAACGGGCAGGTTGTAGTTTGGTGAAGAATGCGACAGTAAAGTATTCTGGTCTGGTTCTATCAAGAAACTGAAGCCGGAGCAAGAGGAATGTTTAGCAAATGTAATCGCTGCAAAGATTGTGGCGCTGCTCCCCACGGGCTCCATTAGCTGCAAAGGAGATGGCTAAAGCTAGGCTAAATGCTAAATGCTAACAACTCACTCAATCGTTTCAATCTGCAAAAGGAGTATGAAATGTGATTTGTACTATGGTGTGGTACGACCAGGCTAGGAGCGAGATAAAATCAACACATTTAATTATGCAAGTTTGCCAGCCTTGTGTTAATAAAAGAAAAAGAAAAATAGAACATTATGCACAAAGTAAAAACAATACAAATGCAATAATAATAACAACAATAAAATACCTAGACTACCTAGCTAAACTGTTAGCACACTCGCTTCACACTCGCACCACACTGCAGCCAATAGGATCAGACCCAGACGTATACATAGGAACTGATCATGGACCAGAGTTTACACATGGTATGACCAGGCTAAAAAATGACAAAAAACAGGAACTGGAAAAAAACCTCAACCATGACACAGACACATTGGAAAAGTTCATGGTATAAATAGTTTTTAAGAGAGGCTGTAGTCGGTTAGTGCTGACATAGAACTGTCTCTGCTCGGTTCAACTCTTTTGGATTCTCCGGAAGGTTCTTGTGCAGCTCTCGATCCACTGATAATGAGTAGATGTAGATGTGCCAGAGCTCTGCGGCTTTTTACAGTCAGCTACAGGCGTCACATCATCTCCTCCACCGTCCTGAACCGTCCTGAACCGTTCTGAACCGTCCTGAACCGTTCTGAACCGTCCTGAACTGTCCTGAACCGTCCTGAACCGTCCTGAACTGTCCTGAACCGTTCTGAACCGTCCTGAACCGTCCTGAACTGTCCTGAACCGTCCTGAACCGTCCTGAACTGTCCTGAACCGTCCTGAACCGTCCTGAACTGTCCTGAACCGTCCTGAACTGTCCTGAACCGTTCTGAACCGTCCTGAACTGTCCTGAACCGTCCTGAGCCGTCCTGAGCCGTCCTGAGCCGTCCTGAACCGCCCTGAGCCGTCCTGAACCGTCCTGAGCCGTCCTGAACCGTCCTGAACCGTCCTGAGCCGTCTTGAGCCGTCCTGAGCAGTCCTGAACCGTCCTGAGCCGTCCTGAGCCGTTCTGAGCCGTCCTGAACCGTCCTGAATCGTCCTGAACCGTCTTGAGCCGTCCTGAGCCGTCCTGAGCCGTCCTGAGCCGTCCTGAACCGTCCTGAGCCGTCCTGAGCCGTCCTGAACCGTCCTGAGCCGTCCTGAGCCGTCCTGAGCCGTCCTGAGCCGTCCTGAACCGTCCTGAGCCGTCCTGAACCGTCCTGAGCCGTCCTGAGCCGTCCTGAACCGTCCTAAACCGTCCTGAACTAAATAAGATAATGATTCATGGACGTTGGTCTCTGCTCCTTTGGGACATTGCTTTTCTTGCGTTTGAACTGTTTGATTCTCTGATCTGTGTTGGAGAATTTGACGGTTTTGTAAAGTCCTCGGAGAAAACGACTGCTGTGATTTTGGGCGACACAAGAATAACATTGAATTGAATTGATAATATTTCATAGCATAGTTTTTATACAGTGGTTTTTTGGACCCTCAAAGAAGCGACAGTAGCTCAGTTGGTCGAGCATTGGCATTTGGGTTGGAAGGTGGAGCCCATCACGGGACCTGCTCCAGCTGCTCCCACTAATGTCTGCTGTCGTTGTGTCCTTGGGCAAGACACTTAACCCCACATTGCTGAAGCCACCGCTGAAACACCAAGACTGTGGCACCTCTGATGTAGCAGCCATCTTCCTGTGGACCCCACCCCCTGCAGAGGATCAGAGGGACTGGTGCTTTGAGCGTTGGGGGCAGCTCTGATTGTCACCCCCCGACCCAGAAATGGACCAATAAAGGGGTTGAGAATGAATGAATGAAGGAATGAAGGAATGAAAGAAAGAAGCTTCACGTGTCGTTATTCGTTCACTCCATATACTGCGGTGATAAACTACTACTATAGCCACAGCTGCCCGGGGCATAAAGTGCTGCACCATAAAAAGACAAGTGAAAATTGCAATGTTGCAGCGCACAGACAGGACAGTAGTGAGAGACACAAGGAGCACACAATATAACACGCTGCTTTGTCTATCGTTGAACATAGTGTAAAGTTATACACATACAGAGCCGGAGAGAGAGCAGATGAAAGACATGTAAGTTTTTATTTTTATTTATATACAGCCTTTTCACTGTAGATCTGAGTCTCAAAGCGGTTTACAATTGTTAATTTTGGGCATTTGTCTCTCACTCCACACAGAGATGGGAGGGGCCAGTACAGGAAGCGCATGCCAGAACTATTGGACATATTTTTAGTGGTAGGGGAAACCGGAGTACCCGGAGGAAACCTACGCAGACACAGGGAGAACATGCAAACTCCACTCAGAAAGGCCCTGGTCCGACCGGGATTCGAACCCAGGACCTTCTTGCTGAGAGGCGAGAGTGCTATCCACTCAGCCACCGTGTCCAGGCTCCGCAGTTTCTCCTCTGTCATGGTTTATCTAATAGTGCTAGTGACTGAGAGAAATTAATTAATTCTTAAATTCATAAATTCAAGTCTGTCTATTGGAGCAGAGCGTTCTAAATGTTTGAAGCAGCCACAGAAAAGCCAAACTCCAAACGCCCTGAGTCTGCAGCTGTGAGTCTGTGGTCAGGCTCTGCTCGCCTCGTGGCAGCCTGTCCTCTCGGAGCGTCTGGGGCAGGTGCGGCTGAAGGTAAACAAACACAGACAGGGCAGCGGGGTCAGCATGTCCCCACAGACCAGACCTGTCACTGCGGGGCCCGGGGCCTTCACCGAGGGCCACTCACTGTCACGCAGAGGGCTGGGGACGTGGCAGGAGCTATAGCATGCTCCATACGTACTGTATAGGGTCTGTACCAGCAGCATGAGGAAGGGTGTCTGAGCTATGCAAACATTTGAATGGAATGGAATGGAATGGAATGGAATTGAAGAGGATAAAGATAAAGGGTCCTGTCTGGAGTTTAAAACAAGAGAAAAAGAGGATTTTAAAGGTATTTATTGGTCAATCATTCTGCGGATACGAGACACGTTTTAAAACGCAAACAATCCTCCTATACTTTTACTTCACACACTTACTACAGGCATACACACACACACACACACACACACACTTACTACAGGCATACACACACACACACACACTTACTACAGGCATACACACACACACACACACACACACACACACTTACTACAGGCATACACACACACACACACTTACTACAGGCATACACACACACACTTCAGGAATACACACACACACTTACTAAAGGCATACACATACACACACACACACTTACTACAGGCATACACACACACACACACTTACTAAAGGCATACACACACACACACACTTACTACAGGCATACACACACACACACACTTCAGGAATACACACACACACACTTACTACAGGCACACATGTTGTTAGTATCCTCATGACTCTCAACCACACAATAAAACAAAACAAAAAGCTATACAAACATTCTAAGGTCACGTAGCGACACACACACACACACACACACACACACACGACACACACACATTCCGGTTTAACATCCATTAGCCGCCGCCGCTGCTGCAGATTGTCCCGTGAAGCTGGAACAGTTGGTGCGAAGTGGAGACAGACCGCGGCGTTCGGCTCCAGTCGTTGGTGATTGTTCCGCTGCCGTGGTCCCATGATGCACATCAAGTTAAATGAGCTGCACTGCTCTGAAATAAGCAAGAAATGATAATCAGGAAATGAACCGGCGACGAACAATTATGGAGAATCAAGCAGACTTCCGCTCGCCATAATGGACCGAGTGCATTAAAGGAGGCGGATCACTTTGCAGAGAGTTTATGAAGCAAGATATTTATGAGCGGTAAATGTGTGTTTTTATTTTTTCAGATCCCCATTAGCGACTGAAATATACGTACATACACATAGTTATTCTTCCTGGGTCTGTATACCAGGGGTCTGCAACCTTTTTCAATCAGAGAGCTACTTTTATACAACAGAAGATCTATGTAATGATTACGGCAAAACATGGAGAACACAACTATACAACCCGATATAATGTTTCCAAGTGTTTTCAAAAGGTTCATACTTTTTACTTTTCCCATTTACTTTTAATTGTTTTTATTTTTTATACCATGGCTTCTCTATGGGCTCTATGCACGCACCACTTCTGCGTTTTAGCTAAAGCCCCACCTCACTTCCTGTTCGCGGGAAACGGCTTGAGTTTCACTGGAGTTCAGCAGTGGTTTACACGAGTTTCCTAAATAAGATTCAGATTCAGATTCAGTTTATTTGCCATTTGCAGTAAAAACACCACATTGGAATACATTAGCAAAAGTCACCAGTGTGCACAGACAAATACAGACATAAAACAACATTAAAAGACAAAAATAAAACAAATAAAACAGTAAACAAATGTCACTGTGAAATCGATCGACTAAAACAGTTTCAAAACAAGTGCAAATCATTAAAGTGCTCTGTTCACACTGATAACAGCCTCAGAGAGCGATATCTTCTGCCAGAGGGAAGAAGCTGGAACATGGCTTTTCCAGGGTGGCCAGAAGAGTAATTGACAATCCTAAGAGCTTGGATTTATAAAGAACCTCCAGAATAATACACCTTCAAATAATGCTCAAACGGGAATTAAACTGTGAGGATACTGGGCATTTCTGGGACACAGCAGTGCTCTTTGATTGTGCTGTCATTGGGTTTTTATAAGGTTTAAAAATCGCTTTGAGTGGCCACAGTCAAAGCTCTACCTCTGAGAGAAAGCACAGCAACACTTTTGGGTCAGTTTCAGCTGAATGTATCGATCTAATTACTAAAAAACGTCACTAAAACCCACCTAAATGCCATAGGATAGCATAGACAGGAAGTGAACGGGCCATGCTTTGTTAACACGAAATGACGTCACGCCTCCCTGTGTATACAGCCCATTCTCTTTTGTGGGACTTTAACCTTTTGTGAGACTTTAACCCCGATATCTTACTCTATGGGCCTCAAACCCTATCTTTTTCTGGGGACTCTAACCCCCTTATCATGGGCCTCGAACCCTCTCTTTGTATCTATTCTTTCTCTATTCTCACTTTTTTCCTATAGGGACTGGTTACGCACATGTAGCTAACCTGTCTTCAACAACAACAGACATAACAAAGACATAACAAAGACAAATTGATTTAGAGAGAATTTGACAGACCTCTCGAACAGACCAAAATGTAGCTAGAATCCAGTTATGCAGACTTTACATAAACAAAAAGGTTTCTGCTTACCTCATTTTCTCTGTCCGGACTGTTCGAGAGGTCGACCAACATCCTTTCAGCTTTTTCCGAGTCTAGCCCAAAGAAGAACGTGGAAAAATTCATATCAAACACAAAACACACAAAAGGGCGGCAGTAGCTCAGTTGGTAGAGCGTTGGCCTTTGAGCCAGAAGGTCGTGGGTTCAAACCCCGCTCAAGACTTTCACCATCGACTCCCACTGACTACTGTTGTTGTGTCCTTGGCAAGACACTTAACCTCTGGGAACACCAGCCACAGTGGGGCGGCTGCGGCTGTAAAGTGCCAAACTGCTGTTGTGTGTGGTGGTGGTTGTGTGGTAGTGGGAGGGGCCGATGGCACAGACTGGTTGCCTCGCTTCTGTCAGTGTGCCCCAGGGCAGCTGTGGCTACATTAGTAGTTTATCACCACCGTGTTTGGAGAGAATGAATAATGACACATGTGAAGCGTCTTTGAGTGTCCAAAAAAGCGCTATATAAAACCGATGCATTAAAACAGTTAGAAAGTGAGGGAGCAGAACAGTTGATCTAAAGCGAGCCCTGTCAGCGTCCGCTTCGAGATGGCGTCCAAAGCATCTCTCCGACGAACATCAGACTTTCTTTGCTCTGGCTTTGAACTCCAGCTCTTGTTCTTATGACAGTGGTATTTTATCATTGTTGTTATTCTGTAATGTCTGGAAAGCACTTTGTGGCAGTCCTGTCTGTTGTTAAAAATGTGCCAAAGAAACTTGACCTTGACCTATCTTTAAAAATGTGAAATTTCAAAATGTTTGGATGTTTTTAGAGTTTAAACTTCATAGGGGTAAGTTTGATTTGTATGATTTGTTTTGCCGTGTGAGAAACAGGACGTCACAAACTCACATGATATTAAAGTAAAAATAGAATGAGGCATAAAATCTAAATAGCCACATAACATTTATACTTCTAAGTCTATAGTATTTGCCATATTGAAGTATTCTAAAAGTACTTATTTGGTTTTCAAACTCATTAAAAAAGTTATTTTGTAGTTTTTGCAGTATTCACAATAATAAGAAAAAAATTGACTTTTTATCTTCTTGTTTTGAATGTTTTTGCTCTTCTTAGTATTTTGTAGTACTGTTTTTCTTTGTGTACAACCCAGTGGAGGCGGGTCCCGGCTCAAAAGTGGCCAAAATGACGTGCGCTGACAGGCTGCAGTACCACCCCGGGCCTGTGGGGGTGGACCCAGAAGTAGAATTAGCCAATGCTAACATATAGCATTGGCAGACCTCTCAAAAACGTCTTTACAGGATGGACCAAAAGTTGTCTCTTGGCCCAAAGCTCCGTTCCACATGTGTGTCAATGCTGAGGGGGTGTTTTGGTCCACTCTAGTTTACTTGCTGTGAATTTTTGAAGTCTCTCGTTCAGATGAATGGAGCTGCGCCGGCTGACGCATGCGCAGATGCGTTTCTTCACAATTTTCTTGTGGGCGGGACCACTCGCGGCCATTTTGGATAGCTCCAGTAGAGCACATTTTTTGGCCCATTAGTTAGAACGGCGGAGATAGGCGTGACTCTGTCCGTTAATATATACAGTCTATGGGAAAAACCACACCACTTTTTGGATGTAAAAAGAGAAATCTGAATTTACTGGAAACGATTTCTCGCGTGTGTGACGTGAGGCCGATGTTACGTTACATATTTTCACTTCTCAGTTTGGGATGATGCAACACGGTGAAAAACTCGTGTACAGTCGTTTGGGGTTATATCCAGTTTAGCTTGAGGCCTGTGCTCTTGATGACGATAATTCATTCATTCTCAGCGTAGGAGACGACCCAAACGCCAAACACACGATACTTTAACAGACGCACAATCCTCAAAACGCCAAAACACTTTTCTGTAAACGCTCAGTAAATGTCTGCGTCACATGAATGAAACCCCTCCAGGCCTGAAGGGGGCGCTGTGACGCTCTGGATCAAGGCCAGGCTTTTGTGAGAGGGTTGATGGTAATAGGTTCTCTCCTCTTTTCTCTGCTCTTCTCTCTCCTCTCTATTCTCCACTAAACAGACTTAGACAGACTCTCTCCTCTCTCTCCTCTATCCTCTTCTCTCCTCCTCTTTCTTCTCTCTCTCCTCTATCCTCTTCTCTCCTCCTCTTTCTTCTCTCTCTCCTCTATCCTCTTCTCTCCTCCTCTTTCTTCTCTCTCTCCTATCTTCTCTACTCTCTTCTCTCCCTCGTCTCTCCTCCTCTCTCTTCTTTCCACTCCTGTCCTCTGCTCTCTCCTCTTTCTCCTCCTCTCTTCTCTCTATCCTAATCCCCCTTCTCTATCCTCCTCTCTTCCTCTCCTCTCTTCTCTCTCGCCTATTCTCTCTTCTCCTCTTTTCTGTCCTCTCTCTCATCTTTCTCCTCTCTCCTCCTTTCTTCTCTCCTCTCTTGTCTCTCTCCTCGCTCTTCTCTCCACTCCTCTCTCCCCTCTCCTCCTCTCTCCCCTCTCTCTCTTCCACTCCTCTCTCCTCTCTTGTTTCCCCTCTCTTCCTCTCTTTCCTCCTCTCTCTCTCCTCTCTTGTCTCTCTCCTCTCTCTTCCACTCCTCTCTCCTCCTCTCTCTCTCTGTTCTTGTCTCTCTCCTCGCTCTTCTCTCCACTCCTCTCTCCCCTCTCTCTTCTCTCTCTTCCACTCCTCTCTCCTCTCTTCCTCTCTCCTCTCTTGTCTCCCCTCTCCTCTCTCCTCCTCTTTCTCTCCTCTCTTGTCTCTCTCCTCCTCTCTCTCTCCTCTCTTGTCTCTCTCCTCCTCTCTCTCTCCTCTCTTGTCTCTCTCCTCCTCTCTCTCTCCTCTCCCCTCTCTCCTCCTCTCTCTCTCCTCTCTTCTCTCCCCTCTCTCTCCTCTCTCTTCCACTCCTCTCTCCTCCCCTCTCTCTACTCTCTTGTCTCCCCTCTCCTCTCTCTCTCCTCTCTTCTCTCCCCTCTCTCTTCCACTCCTCTCTCCTCCTCTCTCTCTCCTCTCTTGTCTCCCCTCTCCTCTCTCCTCCTCTCTCTCTCTGTTCTTGTCTCTCTCCTCGCTCTTCTCCCCACTCTTCTCTCCCCTCTCTCTCCTCTCTCTTCCACTCCTCTCTCCTCCTCTCTCTCTCCTCTCTTGTCTCCCCTCTCCTCTCTCTCTCCTCCTCGCTCTTCCACTCCTCTCTCCACTCCTCTCTCCTCCTCTCTCTCTCCTCTCTTGTCTCCCCTCTGCTTTCTCTCTTCTCACCTCTCCTTCCTGTCCAGTCCTCTCTCTCCCCTCTCCTCTCTCTCCCCTCTCTCCTCTCCTCTCTCTCCCCTCTCTCCTCTCTCCTCTCCTCTCTCTCCCCTCTCCTCTCTCTCTCCCCTCTCCTCTCTCTCCCCTCTCCTCTCTCTCTCCCCTCTCCTCTCTCTCTCTCCTCTCCTCTCCTCTCTCTCTCTCCTCTCCTCTCTCTCTCCCCTCTCCTCTCTCTCTCCCTCCCCTCTCTCTCTCCTCTCCTCTCTCTCTCCCCTCTTCTCTCTCTCTCTCCCCTCTCCTCTCTCTTCTCACCTCTCCTTCCTGTCCAGTCCTCTCTCTCCCCTCTCCTCTCTCTCCCCTCTCTCCTCTCCTCTCTCTCCCTCTCTCCTCTCTCCTCTCCTCTCTCTCCCCTCTCCTCTCTCTCCCCTCTCCTCTCTCTCTCTCCCCTCTCCTCTCTCTCTCCCCTCTCCTCTCTCTCTCCCCTCTCCTCTCTCTTCTCACCTCTCCTTCCTGTCCAGTCCTCTCTCTCCCCTCTCCTCTCTCTCCCTCTCTCCTCTCCTCTCTCTCCCCTCTCTCCTCTCTCCTCTCCTCTCTCTCCCCTCTCCTCTCTCTCTCCCCTCTCCTCTCTCTCCCCTCTCCTCTCTCTCTCCCCTCTCCTCTCTCTCTCTCCTCTCCTCTCCTCTCTCTCCCCTCTCTCCTCTCTCCTCTCCTCTCTCTCCCCTCTCTCCTCTCTCTCTCCTCCTCTCTCTCCCCTCTCCTCTCTCTCTCCCCTCTCCTCTCTCTCCTCCCCTCTCCTCTCTCTCTCCCCTCTCCTCTCTCTCTCTCCCCTCTACTCTCTCTCTCCCCTCTCCTCTCTCTCTCCCCTCTCCTCTCCTCTCTCTCTCTCCCCTCTCCTCTCTCTCTCCCCTCTCCTCTCTCTCTCTCCTCTCCTCTCTGTCCCACTCTCTCTCTTCTCCACTTGTGTAATCAGACCTCAGTAGATGTTGCAGTAGCATCTGTGACGGCGCCAACATCAGTTTGACCTTCAGAAAACCAAATCTCAGAATGACAAGCTCAGGTTTAATCAAAATGGCTTCAAAAGTGTTGTAAGAGATCCAAAATCTTTCCAGTCTAGAACCGGGTTTCAAAATGTTATGTTTTTAATGCCCCCAAAACGCCAGCTTCGTATGGATGACACAGTGGAAGTATTTGTTTGCGTCCAAAGTGTATTAAAACAGTGGGAGAGTCCACAGGAGCAGGTGAGAAACCCTTACACACGTGTCATCCATGTAAACAGCTCACCACCACAACTGAACTAATATATTTCAAAGCTATGGGCATTGACATTGATTTAAGATCAATTTGTCATGTTTTCCAAGTTAGCGTTAGCAGGTAATACGGCTTTGACTGAGAATGTTTGTAGCTAGAACCATCTTTTAGTTCAGCATAATATTCCAGGCAACACAACAAACCCCAGAGTCGTTTTACTTTTCAATCATGGAAAAGCCAGAGCATGTCGTACACAAGAGCGCGGCGTGAAGTGACAGCGGCTGGCTCCTGTGTGGATGTATCCGTCAGAGTTATGGCTCTCCATAAAACATACGCACAAATGGCCTCCTCCGTCGCCGCTGGAGCATCGGAGGAATAAAAATCAGAGTGGTGTTTACTTTTTCGGCTTCACACGACATCACCTGCTCTGAACACTGTCATCTTTCACAGCGGCTCATCTGCAGCCGAGCAGATGTAGCACATTCAGCCGCTTAATATCCCTGTTTTTATTGACTGCTGCAGTTTATTAGAGCGATTTTAGTTTCCCCAGAGAGTGAGACGTCTGCTGGAGGTTTTTCTCGATTGCCAAGATTTTAAAATAGTATTACACAGTTCAAAACATTTACTCACAAAGTAACCAATGAGTTGTTGACTTCTTGAACATCACTTTTGTCGCTTATGAACCGGTGATCTTCTGTGTCGGCTTTTGGGCCGTATCCTCTTGGGATTGGACCAAGTTTGGTTCAATAAAGCAGTGGTTCCCAACCGTAAATGTAAAAAGTTGATTTTGTCTTCTTATGTTTAAGGCTTTGAAGGTTTGTTTAATAAAACAAGAAAGTAAAGAAAGCTAGTAGTGCTTCATTACCTGCAGTAGACTTTCGCCTTCATCAGCGGTGACACGTGTGACCATAGACTGTAATTATTAACGGACGTAGTCACACCTATCTCCACCGTTCTAACTAATATTCCACAGTTTCTATGATCAGTTTCAAAATGGCCACGGGGGCTGGAAAATGTGAAAAAAAGCATCTGTGCATGCGTCAGCTGCACGAGCCCCATTCATTTAACTTTAAAAGTCCACAGCGACTGAACTAGACTGGTCCAGAACACTCCCTCAGCATTGACACACATGTGGAACGGAGCTTTGGACTTTTGGACTTTTGGTCTCTTTTCAGCTGTTGTTACCGGAGGCGGTCAGTCAGATCTCACAGATTCCTCAGACTGACCCTCGCCGCCCTGTGGTCTCTGGAGAAGTGAAAGTGTGAGCCAAGGTGAAAGCCCCGTCGTCTCTGTTGATGATCGTGCGCCCCGCTTCCTGACAACGCCTCTCGTATCCATCTTTTGTATTTTGTTTGTTCTTCTGTTCCTACGATTTTTCATTGTCCATTATGTGATTTTTTTTGTAGTGGTCTGATATTGCCGATTTGAGGTTTTCCTGTGTTGCCTTTACCTTGGTTGATCTTGTTAGTCGCGCTGCTGCTTCTTTTAGTTTTTTTTCTGGTTCCCAACTCTTTCCCCTTCGGTGCCCGTCAGCTCAGACAGGGCATTAACTCATTGCCAGCCACTTCCATATGGACAGCCGTTTTTTATGATTCTCACAGATTTTTCAAGATTCACTTCATCCATCCATCCATTTTCTTCTTCTTCATCCGTTGCCGGGTCGCGGGGGCAACAGACGCCCAGACTGCCCTCTCCACACACACTTCGGTGGCACGGTGGCTGAGTGGTTAGCACTCTCGCCTCTCAGCAAGAAGGTCCTGGGTTCGAATCCCGGTTGGACCAGGGCCTTTCTGAGTGGAGTTTGCATGTTCTCCCCGTGTCTGCGTAGGTTTCCTCCGGGTGCTCCGGTTTCCCCTACCACTAAAAATATGTACAATAGGTCTGGCATGTGCCTCCTGTACTGGCCCCCCACACAAAATAACAATTGTAAACCGCTTTGAGACTCCCATGTGCAGTGAAAAGGCGGTATATAAATAAAGATTACTTACTTACTTACTTCCTCCAGCTCATCCAGTCGACCCCAGGGCGTTCCCAGGCCAGAGAGAAGCTCAGTCCCTCCAGCATGTCCTGGGTCTTCCCCGGGGTTATATCCAATCCAATGTATTTTGTACAGCCCTCAGTCACAAATGCAGTTGTCATGGAAGACTTTGCAATGTTGTTGATTCGCCAACACCAGATCAGAGAATCAAACAGTTCAACAAAACGCACAGAGACCATTGATCCAAAAGGTACGAATCACCACCGTCCATAAAGACCCAGAATATTGTGAAGTACATGATCTCATTCCGCTGCTTAATATCCATACTTATATCGCAGTTTATTAGAGTGATTTTTGTTCTCCACAAAATGAGACGTCTGGGAGAGTTTTTCACAATTGCAAAGCTTTTAAAAAGTATAACACGGTCAAAACAGTTACACACAAAGTAACCAGTGAATTGTTGACTTCTTGAACAACACTTTTTTCTTCCACTTGTCGCCTGCAGATACACACTCTGCCAGCCTCGGAATGTTTCTAACTCCTTTCTGCCGGCTTTGAAAACGATGGAGCTAGAAGTAAACGCTTTTTTCATTTTCATTATCCTTAAAAACAACAGATAAAAAGTTTAGTTTTTTGAGTGAGCGATGGAGCGAGACAGTGAAGAGGGAGCAGCGTCTGCAGTCAGAGCTCTATCGGGCTGTTGTGGTGATGAGTTAGTGGGGTTGTTTTTAGGTGGATATATGAAGGTCGTGTGTTCGAGTCCACCATAAGACCTTCTCCACCGACTCCCACTGATGTCTGCTGTTGTTGTGTCCTTGGGCAAGACACTTAACCCACTTTGCCTGAAGCCCCCGCTGGAAGATTATGGCTGTGTCGTCAGTGATAGAGCAGCCTCCTGTGGACTCTGCAGGAGGGTCAGTGAGGACCAGGAGGAGCAGTGAGGACCAGGAGGGGCAGGAGGATCAGTGAGGAGCAGGAGGAGCAGTGAGGACCAGGAGGAGCAGTGAGGACCAGGAGGAGCAGTGAGAACCAGGAGGGGCAGGAGGATCAGTGAGGAGCAGGAGGAGCAGTGAGGACCAGGAGGGGCAGGAGGATCAGTGAGGAGCAGGAGGATCAGTGGCAGATAAACTTGATTTTGGCTTGTTATTCCAACTCCAAAAAAAAATATATCCAAACCCCCTCCAGCCTCCACCTGAAGACGCCTCCACCTGAAGACGCCTCCACCTGAAGACGCCTCCACCTGAAGACGCCTCCACCTGAAGACGCCTCCACCTGAAGACGCCTCCACCTGAAGACGCCTCCACCTGAAGACGCCTCCACCTGAAGACGCCTCCACCTGAACGCCGCCTCCATCTGAACGCCGCCTCCACCTGAACGCCGCCTCCACCTGAACGCCGCCTCCCCCTGAACGCCGCCTCCCCCTGAACGCCGCCTCCCCCTGAACGCCGCCTCCACCTGAACGCCGCCTCCCCCTGAACGCCGCCTCCACCTGAACGCCGCCTCCACCTGAACGCCGCCTCCACCTTAACGCCGCCTCCACCTGAACGCCGCCTCCCCCTGAACGCCGCCTCCACCTGAACGCCGCCTCCACCTGAACGCCGCCTCCACCTGAACGCCGCCTCCACCTGAACGCCGCCTCCACCTGAACGCCGCCTCCCCCTGAACGCCGCCTCCACCTGAAGACGCCTCCACCTGAACGCCGCCTCCCCCTGAACGCCGCCTCCCCCTGAACGCCGCCTCCCCCTGAACGCCGCCTCCACCTGAACGCCGCCTCCCCCTGAACGCCGCCTCCCCCTGAACGCCGCCTCCCCCTGAACGCCGCCTCCACCTGAATGCCGCCTCCACCTGAACGCCGCCTCCACCTGAACGCCGCCTCCACCTGAACGCCGCCTCTACCTGAACGCCGCCTCCACCTGAACGCCGCCTCCACCTGAACGCCGCCTCCACCTGAACGCCGCCCCCACCTGAACGCCGCCTCCACCTGAACGCCGCCTCCCCCTGAACGCCGCCTCCCCCTGAACGCCGCCTCCACCTGAACGCCGCCTCCCCCTGAACGCCGCCTCCCCCTGAACGCCGCCTCCCCCTGAACGCCGCCTCCCCCTGAACGCCGCCTCCACCTGAACGCCGCCTCCCCCTGAACGGCGCCTCCACCTGAACGCCGCCTCCACCTGAACGCCGCCTCCACCTGAACGCCGCCTCCACCTGAACGCCGCCCCCACCTGAACGCCGCCTCCACCTGAACGCCGCCTCCCCCTGAACGCCGCCTCCCCCTGAACGCCGCCTCCCCCTGAACGCCGCCTCCCCCTGAACGCCGCCTCCCCCTAAACGCCGCCTCCACCTGAACGCCGCCTCCCCCTGAACGCCGCCTCCCCCTGAACGCCGCCTCCCCCTGAACGCCGCCTCCACCTGAACGCCGCCTCCCCCTGAACGCCGCCTCCACCTGAACGCCGCCTCCACCTGAACGCCGCCTCCACCTGAACGCCGCCTCCACCTGAACGCCGCCCCCACCTGAACGCCGCCTCCACCTGAACGCCGCCTCCACCTGAACGCCGCCTCCACCTGAACGCCGCCTCCCCCTGAACGCCGCCTCCACCTGAAGACGCCTCCACCTGAAGACGCCTCCAACTGAACGCCGCCTCCCCCTGAACGCCGCCTCCCCCTGAACGCCGCCTCCCCCTGAACGCCGCCTCCCCCTGATCGCCGCCTCCCCCTGAACGCCGCCTCCCCCTGAACGCCGCCTCCCCCTGAACGCCGCCTCCCCCTGAACGCCGCCTCCCCCTGAACGCCGCCTCCACCTGAACGCCGCCTCCCCCTGAACGCCGCCTCCCCCTGAACGCCGCCTCCACCTGAACGCCGCCTCCACCTGAACGCCGCCTCCACCTGAACGCCGCCTCCACCTGAACGCCGCCTCCACCTGAACGCCGCCCCCACCTGAACGCCGCCTCCACCTGAACGCCGCCTCCCCCTGAACGCCGCCTCCCCCTGAACGCCGCCTCCACCTGAAGACGCCTCCACCTGAACGCCGCCTCCACCTGAACGCCGCCTCCACCTGAACGCCGCCTCCACCTGAACGCCGCCTCCACCTGAACGCCGCCTCCACCTGAACGCCGCCTCCACCTGAACGCCGCCCCCACCTGAACGCCGCCTCCACCTGAACGCCGCCTCCCCCTGAACGCCGCCTCCCCCTGAACGCCGCCTCCACCTGAACGCCGCCTCCCCCTGAACGCCGCCCCCACCTGAACGCCGCCTCCACCTGAACGCCGCCTCCCCCTGAACGCCGCCTCCCCCTGAACGCCGCCTCCACCTGAAGACGCCTCCACCTGAAGACGCCTCCACCTGAAGACGCCTCCACCTGAACGCCGCCTCCACCTGAACGCCGCCTCCACCTGAACGCCGCCTCCACCTGAAGACGCCTCCACCTGAAGACGCCTCCACCTGAAGACGCCTCCACCTGAACGCCGCCTCCACCTGAACGCCGCCTCCACCTGAACGCCGCCTCCACCTGAACGCCGCCCCCACCTGAACGCCGCCTCCACCTGAACGCCGCCTCCCCCTGAACGCCGCCTCCCCCTGAACGCCGCCTCCACCTGAACGCCGCCTCCACCTGAACGCCGCCTCCACCTGAACGCCGCCCCCCACCTGAACGCCGCCTCCACCTGAACGCCGCCTCCCCTGAACGCCGCCTCCCCCTGAACGCCGCCTCCACCTGAAGACGCCTCCACCTGAAGACGCCTCCACCTGAAGACGCCTCCACCTGAACGCCGCCTCCCCCTGAACGCCGCCTCCACCTGAACGCCGCCTCCACCTGAACGCTGCCCCCACCTGAACGCCGCCTCCACCTGAACGCCGCCTCCCCCTGAACGCCGCCTCCCCCTGAACGCCGCCTCCACCTGAAGACGCCTCCACCTGAACGCCGCCTCCACCTGAACGCCGCCTCCACCTGAACGCCGCCTCCACCTGAACGCCGCCTCCACCTGAACGCCGCCTCCCCCTGAACGCCGCCTCCACCCGTTGCTTTCTGCCCCATCCCCCGTGATACATTCCCACTAATGTACGCACACTTGATACGAACGCCCGAGCGCTGGTTTCTCTTCACAGGAAACATTTACAGTCTATCACATCAAACTGAATATGATTTGTTTCCGGGCTCGGGGCGCTGCGCTCCTACATGACACACACACTCCGGTGTATAATCGAATCAAATTACCCGTAATCTTGTGCATTTGTATTCTGAGAAGGCTGGAGACTGGAAGCAGGCGATGTGGACGCAGAGCCGGGCCGGAGAGCTGCACCGGAGCCGTGGCAGCACCATAAGGGTATAAAGTAAGTAGTTTGGTGGCGATTACAGGGCCCTGGACTGGTAAAGATGGGTTTGTTGTGAACGCAGGTTAGGACAGGATGATAATGAGGCTGTATCTGCTGTATCTGTATCATCTTTACTGAGTCATGAGCAGAATACTGATTTAATGCTGCGGTGGTGCAAAGCTCGAGAAATGGATGACGTGGCTCAAATACGGTAATTCAGATTTACATTGGTAAAGCTGGGGTACGTAGCTTTCAAACCACATCAAAGGAGACATGTCTTTCACAATCCATAGTTTCTTGCTCTCGTTGGTTCTGTTTCTACATTAATTAATAATTATGCATCGTTTGCATTTCATTATCAGTGTTGGGTGTATCGCGTTTTAAAGGGAACAAAACAAAACGCGTGAACCATGGACAGTGTAGTACGATAACACTTCATTTTAGATCCGTTGCAACGTTTTATTTTTATCTTTACCACGTGCAGCTGTGACCACACACCTGCTGGCACTGTCGCATCACTCACAACTTGCGCACAATTAGTTCTCATTCCACATGGTATGTGACACATGGTATGTGATATATGGTTTGTGAAGCAAGAGGCCACCAGTGGAGACACTGACATTCTTCTCTTGATGAGGTACAACATGTTACTCTGTGGTGTTTTTGACAAAGAGATGAGAGAAGTATCTGTTTTCTTCACAGTAGAACTTCCACAACACATTTAAGAGCAGTTAATAACAGTATCACCAAAGTAACACAAAAGTAAAGTAAGTAGTTTAAAAGAAGTCACGAGAAAAGTAACTTCCCCGCAGTCGTCCTTCTTCAGTGATAAACCACTACTGCAGCCGCAGCTGCCCTGGGGCACACTGACAGAAGCCAATGGGTGTGATTCCTTTATATCTATGTTTTACTCTTGTAACTTGATTGAACCAAAGTAAATACCAAGTTTGGGACTTCCAGTTACTTACAATGAAAATAAAACATCTACAAATGTAGTTTCTGCTTCAGGAGTGCAGTCCTTCGTCTCTGGACAAAACACTTCGACTGCTTTAAGTAACGTCTCAATCACAGTTTGACACAAATGAAATTCACGGGTCCTTTTGAGCGCTCTGTGAAAGTCCTGGTTCCCATATTCTACTGCGTGTGAGAGATTAGCGCTGCTTGTGGATCGGCTTGAGCGCCGAGGCCCGGACAAGCGCCTCTGGCTGACCCGCTGACCTCCCTCGTGGGCCAATTGTCCTGCAAATCACCCGCACGGCCTCCATCATGTTTGAGCAAGAGCTTAAGGGCTCAGGAGCCTCCACGGCGCTCCACTTGACAACTTATTAGCAAGAGCAGCGGACAGGGCTGGATTGTACGGTCGGTTCTGCGTCGAGAAAATGTGTCCCCCACACACATTACGCGGTGGGTTGCCATGGTGTTTGATTAGTTTGTCATGTTGTAATGCAGCCGTGTGGGAACGCTGACAGCTCAGAGAGGGAGAAGGAGACCAGGAGAAAGGATGGGGCTCTTACGCAGGGCCACTGAACCTAAATCACCTTTTCTACTTCTTCTTCCCTTCTCGTTGAATTTCTGTCAGTCCACATGCGTTATCGGGTAATATTGATTAACATTCATAGCGTCCCAAAAAATGGCTCGGGAAAAACTGGAAAACCGCACTTTTCCTACGAGAAAATGAATGCACGGTTCCCAAATGATATTCGCTTGTGTCATGTCTCAAAGTCAATCACATTTGACTGCTGTTTCTGGACTATTAGGCGCACCTGTATATAAGCCGCACCTGTATATAAGCCGCACCAGCAATCTTTTAAAATAACATATTTTTTGTCCACATATAAGCCGCACTTGAATATAAGCTACAGGTTTTCATGTTTAATGTTGCAGATAGAAGATTAAGAGATTCTTTATTGGTCTCACAGTGAGGAAATTTCAGTGTTGCATCATAAGTTATGGAACAGTAGGAAAGAGGAGCACACAGCCCGAGATAAATTCTGTCTCAATAAAAATACACACATTAGACGCATCTTTATATAAGCCACAGTTTTCAAAGACAGAGAAAAAATTAGCAGCTTACAATGGCTTATTTCTGAAACAGATTTTTTTAGCTGTCAACCGGAGCTGGTTTTACCGTTTAGGTTTGGATCGGCCGGTTCCGTGTCACAAATGTGTCCCCCACACACATTACTCGGTGGGTTCCCGTGGTATTTGATTAGTTTGTCATGTCCTAATGCAGCCGTGTGGGAACGCTGACAGCTCAGAGAGGGAGAAGGAGACCAGGAGAAAGGATGGAGAGGATGGAGATATGAAGAGGATGGAGAGATGAAGAGGGGGAGAGATGAAGAGGGGGAGAGATGAAGAGGGGGAGAGATGAAGAGGGGGAGAGATGAAGAGGATGGAGAGATGAAGAGGGGGAGAGATGAAGAGGGGGAGAGATGAAGAGGGGGAGAGATGAAGAGGGGGAGAGATGAAGAGGATGGAGAGATGAAGAGGGGGAGAGATGAAGAGGGGGAGAGATGAAGAGGGGAGAGATGAAGAGAGGGAGAGATGAAGAGAGGGAGAGATGAAGAGGGGGAGAGATGAAGAGGGGGAGAGATGAAGAGGGGAGAGATGAAGAGGGGAGAGATGAAGAGGGGGAGAGATGAAGAGGGGGAGAGATGAAGAGAGGGAGAGATGAAGAGGGGGAGAGATGAAGAGGGGAGAGATGAAGAGAGGGAGAGATGAGAGAGGGGAGAGATGAAGAGGGGGAGAGATGAAGAGGGGGAGAGATGAAGAGGGGAGAGATGAAGAGGGGGAGAGATGAAGAGGGGGAGAGATGAAGAGGGGGAGAGATGAAGAGGGGGAGAGATGAAGAGGGGGAGAGATGAAGAGAGGGAGAGATGAAGAGAGGGAGAGATGAAGAGGGGGAGAGATGAAGAGGGGGAGAGATGAAGAGGGGAGAGATGAGAGGGGGAGAGATGAAGAGGGGGAGAGATGAAGAGGGGAGAGATGAAGAGAGGGAGAGATGAAGAGGGGAGAGATGAAGGAGAGAGAGGGGGAGAGATGAAGAGGGGGAGAGATGAAGAGGGGGAGAGATGAAGAGGGGGAGAGATGAAGAGGGGGAGAGATGAAGAGGGGAGAGATGAAGAGAGGGGAGAGATGAGGGGAGAGATGAAGAGGGGGAGAGATGAAGGGGGAGAGATGAAGAGGGGGAGAGATGAAGGGGGGAGAGATGAAGAGGAGGAGAGATGAAGAGGGGGAGAGATGAAGAGGGGGAGAGATGAAGAGGGGGAGAGATGAAGCGGGGGAGAGATGAAGAGAGGGAGAGATGAAGAGGGGGAGAGATGAAGAGGAGGGAGAGATGAAGAGGGGGAGAGATGAAGAGGGGGAGAGATGAAGAGAGGGAGAGATGAAGAGGGGGAGAGATGAAGAGAGGGAGAGATGAAGAGGGGGAGAGATGAAGAGGGGGAGAGATGAAGAGAGGGAGAGATGAAGAGGGGGAGAGATGAAAAGAGGGAGAGATGAAGAGGGGGAGAGATGAAGAGGGGGAGAGATGAAGAGGGGGAGAGATGAAGAGGGGGAGAGATGAAGCGGGGGAGAGATGAAGAGAGGGAGAGATGAAGAGGGGGAGAGATGAAGAGGATGGAGAGATGAAGAGGGGGAGAGATGAAGAGGGGGAGAGATGAAGAGAGGGAGAGATGAAGAGGGGGAGAGATGAAGAGAGGGAGAGATGAAGAGGGGGAGAGATGAAGAGAGGGAGAGATGAAGAGGGGGAGAGATGAAGAGAGGGAGAGATGAAGAGGGGGAGAGATGAAGAGGGGGAGAGATGAAGAGGGGGAGAGATGAAGAGGGGGAGAGATGAAGAGGGGGAGAGATGAAGAGAGGGAGAGATGAAGAGGGGGAGAGATGAAGAGGGGGAGAGATGAAGAGGGGGAGAGATGAAGAGAGGGAGAGATGAAGAGGGGGAGAGATGAAGAGGGGGAGAGATGAAGAGGTGGAGAGATGAAGAGAGGGAGAGATGAAGAGGGGGAGAGATGAAGAGAGGGAGAGATGAAGAGGGGGGAGAGATGAAGAGAGGATGGAGAGATGAAGAGGGGGAGAGATGAAGAGAGGGAGAGATGAAGAGGGGGAGAGATGAAGAGAGGGAGAGATGAAGAGGGGGAGAGATGAAGAGGGGGAGAGATGAAGAGGGGGAGAGATGAAGAGGGGGAGAGATGAAGAGAGGGAGAGATGAAGAGAGGGAGAGATGAAGAGGGGGAGAGATGAAGAGGGGGGAGAGATGAAGAGGTGGAGAGATGAAGAGAGGGAGAGATGAAGAGGGGGAGAGATGAAGAGAGGGAGAGATGAAGAGGGGGAGAGATGAAGAGAGGGAGAGATGAAGAGGGGGAGAGATGAAGAGGATGGAGAGATGAAGAGGGGGAGAGATGAAGAGAGGGAGAGATGAAGAGGGGGAGAGATGAAGAGGGGGAGAGATGAAGAGAGGGAGAGATGAAGAGGGGGAGAGTGTTTGCCCTCAGCCTCAACGTGTTCCAAGAAGCTTTTTCTCTCATTTAGTCGGATTAGAACAATGCAGTTTGAACCGGCGGCTCACAGATGGTACCTGGGAGACTCAGCTCAGACATGTGGCTCTTGGTCCGTTTTCTGCATCAAAAGAGTTAAGAAAGAGTTTAGAAAGAGTTCAGATTTCTGCCTGAAGATGTTCGTGACTTTGGAAGGGTGGATTTTATCGTCTTGGGTGTGATGGATAAAGTGAAAGTATGCTTTGTTGTCCCTGCAGGTTATTCTAATGATTCCACTGATCTATCACTGCTGCTGAAAGTCGTGTCTCTGAAACAGTTGTTGTTTTGTGCTTTTGAATTTTTATTTTTCTTGCTTTTTTTCTACCTGAGATGTTGCTGCAGTTCAGTGTTCATGGTTTTACACTGGTCCAGACCAGAGCAGAGAGGATTCATGGTTTTACACTGGTCCAGACCAGAGCAGAGAGGATTCATGGTTTTACACTGGTCCAGACCAGAGCAGAGAGGATTCATGGTTTTACACTGGTCCAGACCAGAGCAGAGAGGATTCATGGTTTTACACTGGTCCAGACCAGAGCAGAGAGGATTCATGGTTTTACACTGGTCCAGACCAGAGCAGAGAGGATTCATGGTTTTACACTGGTCCAGACCAGAGCAGAGAGGATTCATGGTTTTACACTGGTCCAGACCAGAGCAGAGAGGATTCATGGTTAAAACCAAGTGGATCAGGAGAAAATCCACAGGAGGAATGCTAACTTTTTGAACAATGCTAATGAAGCATTCAGCATTTTACTTTGGACTAGAGCAGAGAAAATGGTCCGAACCCAGAGGCTCCTCCACCTCTGCTGCTGTGACCTGTCCCACTCCACCCAGAGGCTACTCCACCTCTGCTGCTGTGACCCGTCCTGCTCCACCCAGAGGCTCCTCCACCTCTGCTGCTGTGACCCGTCCTGCTCCACCCAGAGGCTACTCCACCTCTGCTGCTGTGACCCGTCCTGCTCCACCCAGAGGCTACTCCACCTCTGCTGCTGTGACCCGTCCTGCTCCACCCAGAGGCTACTCCACCTCTGCTGCTGTGACCCGTCCTGCTCCACCCAGAGGCTACTCCACCTCTGCTGCTGTGACCCGTCCTGCTCCACCCAGAGGCTACTCCACCTCTGCTGCTGTGACTTAAAGGGCTGTTGCTGATTATTACTATTTTTTACTTTTTAGAATCCATCCATCCATCCATCCATTTTCTTCCGCTTTATCCGTTGCCGGGTCGCGGGGGCAGCAGTCTAAGCAGAGACGCCCAGAACTTTTTAGAATAATCAATTTAATTTTTTATTTTTGCTTCTACTGGACACCTGAATGTCTCCGACGGGGATCAATAAAGTATCTCTCTATCTCTCTCTCTATCTATCTATGAATCTATCTATCTATGAATCTATCTATCTCTATCTTGACTGCGGTGTTGGTGGTGAGCTGCTCTAACGCTGACGTCTGCAGTCGCTGTGTGTCTCCAGTGTGTGTTGCTGTGTGTGTGTCCAGTGTGTGTTGCTGTGTGTGTCCAGTGTGTTGCTGTGTGTGTCCAGTGTGTGTTGCTGTGTGGGTCCAGTGTGTGTTGCTGTGTGTATCCAGTGTTTGTTGCTGTATGTATGTCTAGTGTGTGTTGGTGTGTCTAGAGTCTGTTGCTGTGTGTGTGTCTAGTGTGTGTTACTGTGTGTGTCCAGTGTGTTGCTGTGTGTGTGTCCAGTGTGTGTTGCTGTGTGTGTCCAGTGTGTTGCTGTGTGTGTGTCCAGATTGCTGCTGTGTGTGTCCAGTGTGTGTTGCTGTGTGTGTCCAGTGTGTTGCTGTGTGTGTGTCCAGATTGCTGCTGTGTGTGTCCAGTGTGTGTTGCTGTGTGTGTCCAATGTGTTGCTGTGTGTGTGTCCAGATTGCTGCTGTGTGTGTCCAGTGTGTGTTGCTGTGTGTGTCCAGTGTGTTGCTGTGTGTGTGTCCAGATTGCTGCTGTGTGTGTCCAGTGTGTGTTGCTGTGTGTGTCCAGTGTGTCTTACTGTGTGTGTCCAGTGTGTTGCTGTGTGTGTCCAGTGTGTTGCTGTGTGTGTGTCCAGATTGCTGCTGTGTGTGTGTCCAGTGTGTGTTGCTGTGTGTGTCCAGTGTGTTGCTGTGTGTGTGTCCAGATTGCTGCTGCGTGTGTCCAGATTGTGTTGCTGTGTAGGTCTAAGGTACGTGGAGCTCACAGGCTTTAACACGTGTAGTACTGGAGTAAAGGTAGAGCCGTGTGTGTTTGTGTTTGTGTGTGTGTGTGTGTGTCTGAGGCTGTCCCGGCGGGTCTTCACACCGCACATTTAACCTGCTTTAACCACACGCACCATCGGCAGCGGCTGACCTCCTGATCTCCATGATTTACCAATGAGTCCATCGCTGATCCATAATGCAGCAGCTTTCTCTACGGTGCATGGGTTCAACAGCCAGATTTATCTTATTGTGTTGCTGTGTGTGTGTCCAGAGTGTGTTGCTGTGTGTGTCCCGTGTGTGTTGCTGTGTGTGTTGCTGTGTGTGTCTCCAGAATGACCTCGAGGCCGGCTGCATATGAATTACTAAACCTAATATCAAGTCTAGAGCGTTCAGACCTCGCAGCCAGAAGACCGTGGGTTCGATTCTCGTGCCGGATCAGGCCATTCTCCCTGTGCTTCCATGCCGTTCCTCCGGGGGGCGCCGCGGTGAAACATCCTCCCGTGAAAATGGTCCTGACCTGGCTGAGAATTAGCGTCTAACTGTGCAGAATACGATAAGACTTTATTACAACAGTCGCACTGGATTTGTTCAACAGCTGAGCCTGAACCCAACACCCGCTCTGTGATTTTAGACGGACAATGCTAACCCGCTAGCTCAACGAAGCCCAACAGAGAAGCGCTCATGGAGGACGTTTGGCTTCAACCCGCTCTGGCTCCTATTGACTCACTGCAAAAAGTGATTCAAAATAAGTCAAAATTCCTCAAGTTTGACAAAATGTATATTAATTTGATCACATTTGGACTTGGTGATGACTTGATTCTGCCGTACTAAAGGTTGTTTCTCTCCAATTTGAGCCGTAGGACGTAGTGAGAGAGTTACAGAGACACAGGAGCGAGGGGTTGGAAGAATTTGCACAACTCTCCCGGTGTCCCCTTCTTCTGCAAAAAGTGATGAAAGATAGTTTAAATACTGCTCAGAATTGGCAAAAATGAATCTTAACTTGAGCGCATTCTGCCTTAAAATAAGATTCCTCAATGGGACAAAAAAAAAAAAGATGTTGTTTTAAAAAGAAATGTCTTCTTTGGAATGATTTGGAGAATCTTGTTTTAACACAATCAGAATGGACTAAAATTTAAATACTGAATTCAAGAAATAATTATCTCAGAGTTGATCATTTTTGAAAAGGGCAGGCTCCTTTGGTGGCACCGGCACCTGCCACATCTGATCAGTGGCATGTACACAACAAATGGCGGTTAAAACGGCATGTGGACAACAAATGGCGTTTAAAACGGCATGTGGGCAATAAATGGCGTTTAAAACGGCACGTGGACAACAAGTGGCGTTTAAAACGGCATGTGGACAACAAGTGGCGTTTAAAACGGCATGTGGACAACAAATGGCGTTTAAAACGGCATGTGGGCAATAAATGGCGTTTAAAACGGCATGTGGACAACAAGTGGCGTTTAAAACGGCATGTAGACAACAAGTGGCGTTTAAAACGGCATGTGGGCAATAAATGGCGTTTAAAACGGCATGTGGACAACAAGTGGCGTTTAAAACGGCATGTAGACAACAAGTGGCGTTTAAAACGGCATGTGGACAACAAGTGGCGTTTAAAACGGCATGTGGACTACAAATGGCGTTTAAAACGGCATGTGGACAACAAGTGGCGTTTAAAACGGCATGTGGACAACAAGTGGCGTTTAAAACGGCATGTGGACAACAAGTGGCGTTTAAAACGGCATGTGGACAACAAGTGGCGTTTAAAACGGCATGTGGACTACAAATGGCGTTTAAAACGGCATGTGGACAACAAGTGGCATTTAAAACGGCATGTGGACAACAAGTGGCGTTTAAAACGGCATGTGGACAACAAGTAGTGTTTAAAACGGCATGTGGGGAATACATGGGGAATAAATCCTATGACATCATGTGTGTACATACAGTACAATGTATGCTACATAATATTATATTGTTGTTATAGGACATTTCATCAAGAATGGAGCCAACCAAAGATGGTGAAGACTGATGGAGTGAAAAATACGAGCAGAAAGTTGTGCAATTGGTTTAAGCTGTCTCTTAATACTTTGCATTCTTTTATAAAAATTCTATGAATAAATGTTCTTTCTTATTGTTCCATGTTTTTTTTTTCTATTTCTAGCCAAAAAGTTCAGCAGTGCTTTACTTTAGCTAATCTTTATTTGACATCAAATTAAAAACAATTCACTTCTGTCGAAGATTTATTTCATTTTTATTTTGGCAATTACTTATAAACTGAAAAATACATATGTACTATATATAATAATATATCATAGCATATTAATTTAAGGTAACCCACTAATGGAGAACTTGAGCTAGACTGTCGTGAGACAGGTTAGTTTTACCCTAGTGGTGATGCAAAATTAATCCTAATGCAAGATTACTATTGCAACAACACAGTCATATATAATGAAATATATATTCATACATATTAAATTTGTATTTAATCTGACCAAAAAAAAAAATGACATGGTTCGGATTCGAACATTGAATCTCCCGCACTGTAGGCATTTTTAAACCATATACGCTACGAATAAGAACAATTCAAAGACGTTTAAACCATACAAAATAAATAAAATTAGGCCCTTGAACAATTTTATGCGGTAACTTATAATCTTACCCAAATAACATTTGTTAAACAACTTATGGCACTTCTGACATTCTCCATGAAGTGTTTTGCCCAAGGACCCAACATCAGCAAATGTCATTGGTAGTCACTGTAGACTGTCGAGAGACAGGCTAGTTTTACCCTAGTGATGATGCAATATTAATTCTAATGCAAGATTACTTTTGCAACAACACATAGTCATATATATATATATATATATATATATAAAATATGTATTCATACATATGAAATTTGTATTAAATCTGACCACAAAAAAAAAGTCTTTGTCTGGAATTGAACCAGGAATCTTCTGCGTAAGAGGCAATTATAAACCAGGTACGCCACAAGTCTGTACAATAAGGTTGTTCTTAAACCATCTATTATACATGAAATTAAGTCATTGAACAAATTTATGCAAAATTTATATTATAATATTACCGAAACAACATTTTTCGAACAACTTATGGCACTTATAACATTCTTCATTAAGTGTTATGCCCAAGGACCCAACATCAGCAAATGTCAATGGTGATCACGAGGGATTCAAACTAGCTACCTTTGAGACGCCAGACCTGTGCTCTTCCATCTGAGCCACTAGATCACTAGCTGCACTACTGCTGCTTGTTGTGTTTTGTACAAGCTGCTTTCAACAGTATTTATTCCCCAAATCCCTTTTAAACGCCATTTATTCCCCACATGCCGTTTTAAACGCCACTTGTTGTTCACATGCCGCATGCCGTTTTAAACGCCGCATTGTTGTCCACATGCCGCTTTACACGCCACTTGTTGCCCACATGCCGTTTTTTAAACGCCTCTTATTCCCCACATGCCGTTTTATAACGCCGCTTGTTGCCACATGCCGCTTGTAACACGCCACTTGTTGCCCACATGCCGTTTTAAACGCCACTTCTTGCCCACATGCCGATTTAAACGCCACTTATTCCCCACATGCCGTTTTAAACGCCAACTTGTTGTCCACATGCCGCTTTACACGCCACTTGTTGCCATTGCCACATGCCGATTTAAACGCCACTTATTCCCCACATGCCGTTTTAAACGCCACTTGTTGTCCAAATGCCGCTTTACACGCCACTTGTTGCCCACATGCCGTTTTAAACGCCACTTCTTGCCCACATGCCGTTTTTAAACGCCACTTGTTGTCCACATGCTGATTTAAACGCCACTTCTTGCCCACATGCCGATTTAAACGCCACTTATTCCCCACATGCCGTTTAAACGCCGCTTGTTGTCCACATGCCATTTTTACACGCCACTTGTTCCCCACGGTGCCGTTTTTAACGCCGCTTGTTGTCCACATGCCGCTTTACCACGCCACTTGTTGCCCACATGCCGTTTTAAAACGCCACTTCTTGTTGCCCACATGCCGATTTAAACGCCACTTGTTGTCCACATGCCGCTTCACACGCCACTTGTTTGCCCCACATGCCGTTTTAAACGCCACTTGTTGCCCACATGCCGTTTTAAACGCCATTTGTTGTGTACATGCCACTGATCAGCTGTGGCAGGTGCCGGTGCCACAAAAGGAGCCTGACCTTTCTCAGATTTTTTGTGGCAACAGATTTTAAATAAGCTGATATTTTCCATTTGAAATGAGTCCCGTACAACAGGACTGTGAGAAAGCATTCTGAAGACGACAGGCGACGGAAGGATTCCATCATAAAAGGTTATGGACAACATTTTCTCAAAAGTTGAAGAAGTAAAGACTTAAGTAATGAACTCTTGTCTTCTAGATGCTGTCCTTTATACTGAGATGCTGGAGACCAAGATGTAGGGCCAGGAGATGCATCTGAGGAAAGGTAATTCTGAGTTGAAGGAAAATCCGAGTTTAGAGAGGAACTTTGTCCTGAAAAATGTTGGTGTTGCAGAAATGGAGGAGGAGATGATCAAATGTAAGGTGGCAAAGCTGGCTCAAAAGTCACTAAGAAAGGCCCTGGGCGAGAAGCTATGCCGTAAGTATGAAACTGAAGTAATCGACAGATGATTCCCTCCAAGCAGCAGAATCCAGGACCCTCAGGAGGCCCACGCTCCACACCACCCTCAGAAGTGGAGACACAGATCGACAAAAGACAGACGTCTACAGGACCAAACCAAGCTCCACAAAGACTAAATTCTGAGTGAACTCCAAACTGTTGGACAATGTGACTGACATTAGCTTCACGACAGATGCATGAAGCTCGAATACAAAGTCAGATGAGAATGTTGAGGCCTACCTCTCAGTGGATTAATGATGAAAGAGTCACTTTTTGCAGCTGAAGAATAAGAAGCCATACGTATTTCTTATCTTTGTTACTTTATTTCAGAGACAACTCAGAAAATATATAATTTAGTGCACAAATGTTCAAGCTGTGGAATACATGTTTTTTTGTTAATTCCTTTACGTGGAGTCCCGCGGGAGGTGTTTCTCTTTTTAAAGTAACACGAGTGATCCTAACAGTCGAAACTGCTACACGGGATACTAATGGGCTGCACCTGATAGAACCCCGAAAATACTGAGTAACGCTACCAACAATAATACTATCCTTTGTTGCTATTAAACGTGTCAAACATGTGAT